CTGTAAGCCTTGCCTGTTAGAGCACACAAGAACTTGCAGGCTCGGGAGGGGAGACGCGGATTACCCCGCCAAGTGTTAGCGGTCTTAGGACAGTTGCCAGCAGCCATATTACCCTGTAGCCCAAGACTGGTTGCCCACTGAAGCTAAGCAGGGCTGAGCCTGGTTAGTACCTGGATGGGAGACCTTCTGAGAAAACCAGGTTGCTGCTGGAAGAGGTGTTAGTGAGGCCAGCAGGGGGTGCTCACCCTGTGGTCTGTGTGGGTCCTAATGCCCCAGTATAGTGACGGGGACACTATACTGTCAAAGAGCACCGTCCTTCAGATGAGACGTTAAACCGAGGTCCTGACTCTCTGGGGTCATTAAAAATCCCAGTATGTCTTTCGAAAGAGTAGGGGTGTAACCCCGGCATCCTGGCCAAATTTGCCCAGTGGCCTCTGTCCATCATGGCCTCCTAATCATCCCCATATATATATACACTGATTGGCTTCATCACTCTGTCTCCTCTCCACCAGTAAGCTGGTGTGTGGTGAGCGTTCTGGCGCAATATGGCTGCCGTCGCATCATCCAAGTGGATGCTGCACATTGGTGGTGGTTGAGGAGATTCCCCCTTCCATGTGAAGCGCTTTGAGCGCCTAGAAAAGCGCTATATAAATGTAAAGAATTATTATTATTATTATTATTATTATTAGTTGCATCGCAACCGACCGCTCCACTGGTGGGATGTCCGCGTACCCTTTAGCTGCTCCTCCGTCGAGGGTGGTGAGGGGGGAAGAGGCAACAGGGTGGTATCGGGCATTTAGAGGTGCCATCCAAGACCTAGTCACCTCATAATGCACTTCCAGGAAGAAAGGCACTAGGGCTGGCACGGGCCGCCCCAAGAAACCAATCATCCAGCCGCGAGGGTTCGGGACACGGTGGAGGGTTCCACTCAAGCCCGACGCTCCGAAGCGAAATGCAAAGATGCGTTGCACATGCTGCTCATTATATACCCAGGCTGTGTGATAGAAGCAGCTGGCGCAATTATCGCATGCCAATGTGCATTGCCTCGTTTAGTTTCTCTCGAAGTAGATTGGTCTCTCTGCGAAGATCCCATTTCTGTCGAATCCCTACGACAAACGTTGAAGTGACCAACATGAAAGGGAACTAATGCCATGCTTCCTAATGATTTCTCCCAAGGGTAGCATGTACAGAGTGAACAGCGAATAGTGTCATTATTCAGCTCAAGTTAATAAATTATGAAATGAGTTTAATTCAGTTATAAGCAGCTCCACAGAAGACAATTATTGAAGGTTTATTTTTGTATTTATATTCCAGTGTTGTCATTGGCTTGATCACTGGGGAGCTCTATCTTTTTTTTTTACATTTCTATAAAGCTGTTGGAACAATTTGTATTGTAAAATGCACAATATAAATAATAAATGTAATTAAAACTAATTAAAATCAATTTAATATGCATATACATTTGAACAGTCTACAATTAGTTTATTTTATTTTATTTTTAACAAGCAATTGATATAAGCTTTAATTTGTAAAAATAACATTTAAAAAAAAAATCAACATCATGATTTTACAGCAAAATTCACTTATATGAATGTATGAAGAATTATGTGCATTCTAGGTACTGCAAATCATTGTTTCTTTTTAATCACCTTTTTTTGTTTTTATTTGTTGTCCACTTATAGTCCTGAGGCATGAAAAGTGTATTTTTAGAGTAAATATATTCCCTGCAGTCTCTAAATTAATATGAGGTCTATATATGAATATAATATATCTAGCATGTCTTCTAACATGCAGAATTAGAAAAAAAAAAAAAATAATTATTACATATTTTTATAGTATATATGTATATAGTACTGGTCAAAAGTTTTTTTGAAAGAAGTCTCTTCTGCTCATCAAGCCTGCATTTATTTGATCAATGATACAGAACATAGTGATATTGTGAAATATTATTACGATTTAAAATAATGGTTTCCTATTTGAAAATACTTTAAAATGTAATATATTCCTGTGATCAAAGCTGAATTCAGTCTTCAGTCTCACTTGATCCTTCAGAAATCATTATAAGTTGCTGATTTACTGGTTGGTGCTGCTTAAAGGTGCCCTAGAATGTTTTTTTTTTTTTTTTTTTTATAATGTTTCCTGGGTTACCCTTATAATGTTAGTATGTTTTTTAGATAAAAAATAATCATAATTTAGAAATAAATGGCATTTTTCCTAGCCTGCTTTTAGCCTCTGATTTGAACACTCTGTTTGAAGGGGCGTGTCTGCTGTGGGATTCAGTGTAACCGCGGCCACTGCTGTGATTGGCTGACATGCTTGCATATGAAATAGCTACGCATTACATGTGAAACTCTCTCCCGAATACTTTTACTACTGCTATTATACGTTTTTACTATAACAGCTATCGAGATTAACGAATCGTGAGATGTTTTTAAAGTATTTAGATCTATTCCCATCACATAAAATGTTGCCGTGATGAGCATTGAGCAGATGACAGTGTGTTGATCGCGAGAATGAAGATCTTATTGCAAAGCAGTTTCTGCACTCTCTCTGCTTTCCCCAATGCAAACACGATGATGTAAATACAGTAAGAGCTTCGTTGTGCAGTAACGTGCGTCATTGATTTCATAACGAGTTTGGCAAGTGTCCAGATAAACTCACGCTGTGTGGAAAGATTGTTCTTTGATCGCTTTCTGTATATAATTCACAATTTGTTCACAATTCACAATTGTGAATTGTGTTTAAATACGATTATTTTCATCCTACTAAAAGAAACGATGTGAAGCTGATATTTTAGTCACTGGCTTGACTTACTGATGCATAAACAGTATTGAACGATTTTGAGAGAAAGATTACCTGTCTGAACTTGAACAATTACACATCAGAAAGTGTTGCTTGGTAGCTCGATCCGAGGCCAGCTCTGTATTGGCCCAAGTTGAGGAAACAGTCGGTGAAATGTTTGGAAATTTCCAGAGAAAATAAAATTAACCCATTGTTTCTTCAGAGGCTCAGATGAAGGAACTAAAAAATACTTTTGTGTTCATGTGTACATCCACACTGAGCAACTGCCATGCTTCGGCTGCGCAGTTCCGCCTGGCATTGAGGGGTGGCATTATGCAAATATTTGGAGGCGTACATATTAATGATCCCGACTATTGCGTCACAGTCGGTATTGTGTGGAGAACCGACCGTTTTTCAGGGGTGTTTTTCATAAACGTGAATTAAATGAGAACGCGAAAACAGTCCAGTTTGAGATTCACTCTATGTCATGTCCATGCACTGAACTCTTGTTATTTGACTATACCAAGGTAAATTCAATTTTGAATTATAGGTCACCTATAATTTTTTTTTTGGAACCTGTGGTACTTTTTTCAGGATTCATTGATGAATAAAAAGTTCAAAAGAACAGCATTTATTTGAAATATAAATCTTTTCTAACAATATAAATTTTTACTAACACTTTCTACCAATTTAACAGATCCTTGCTGAATAAAAGTAACAATTTCTTTTTAAAAAAAAGAACGAAAAAAATTACTGACCCCAAAATTTTGAACGGTAGTGTATAATGTTTCCAACATTGACAATAAATCAGCATATTAGAATGATTTCTTTTGCTTAAAAGAAAACCATTGTTTTAAATTGCAATAATATTTCACAATATTACTGGGTTTTTTTCTGTATTTTTTATCAAATAAATGCACGCTTGATGAGCAGAAGTGACTTTCAAAAACATAAAAAATATGAATGCTTCCGAACTTTTAACCCGCTAAATATATATATATATATATATATATATACATTCATACTTATAATAATAGTTCTGCTGTGTGATCTGCAGATATCCCACTGCTTTTACATTTTATGTCAACCATCTTATGTCTTCCTTGATAAAATGCCTTTGTGGTCCCAGGTCAGATGAGAATACCATGGTACTAAATAAGTACCATACCAGTTCTCACGTTCACAAGACTCAAGCATCTGTAGACTGTACCACATGTTATGCTGAAAGATGTCATCGGGGTCAGTGAGGATTCTTCCTCCTAACGGGACAGGTGGTCTTCCTCCACTGTACAGCCTCACAGCACAGACGGTCAGCTTCACAAACCTCCTCATTTCTCCATTCTCATCTGAGAACAGCAATTAATGACGGTCATTACCAACCAAACACACTGTCGCCTGGTTTCACAGACGAGGCTTAAGCTTAGTCCCATACTAAAATGCATGTTTGAGCTGTTTTAACTGAAAGCAACTTGCACTGATAGCCTATATATCTTATGTCAGTGCCATTTTTTTTATCTCAAGATGCAGTAATGTTTTTTTTCTAAGGCAAATTTATAAAAGCTACTTAAATGTCCAAAGGCCTAATCCTGGCTCAATCTAAGCCCTGTCTGTGAAACCAGGCCTTTATCTACTACTACTGATGTGTGAAGCATTAAACTACATTTCCCAGCTATCAACTGCGACGATGCGCCTTCAGATGACGTACACCCGGAAGTTTTTGTAAACACATGTGTGCAGAGTGTAGGCTGATTACAATTTTAAGCAACCAAAAAATGTCCACTAGAAGCAGACAACTGTAAGATTTTATGCGAATGTATTCTATGACTTTGCAACGTTTTGGAAACGGCCGATATGAGGATTTCTCTAAACAATTGAAATGTTAGCTGTTAGCTTAGTGCCAAAAATGTCTCACGAAAATACACCTTTAACTTTAACAAGAGCAAATTGAACAAATGTATTTGCGCATATTTGACTATTTAAGTCATAGGAAGCATATGCTCTTCGGTTTATTAGCTAACGTTAACTGTTGTGGTTTGGATATAACTAATATGCTTTTGAGCAACGCTATATAATTGCATGCAGAGTCTGCGTATAAAAAAAAGACAGAGTTGACTTTACCCAGCACTCACTTAGATGCCATTTCTGAAGATTATTCCGCTTAGTTTTGTGGTAGTCAGTGCATTTTATTTGAATGGTGTGAGTAAGTGTCGTCGTTCCCCATGTGCGCGCTCCCGTCCCCATGCGCGCCCCGCACTAGTAAGAACAGCTGTGCTGTCCTGGCTTCAAGATCACGTGGATCCAATGACTTTGGTAGATTACTGGGAGCAAACCATAAGATCCTGAGGAACATCATTCTCCAAGTAAGCATTGCTGTGTTTGATACTGGGGTTTTTATTTTCCAATTAGTCTAATTTACAGTACCAGTCTCTTACGCTCATCGTTATTTGATCAAACGTACAGAAAAAAAACAGTAATATTGTAAAATAGTATTGCAGTGTAAAATAATGGTTTTCTATTTTAATATATTTTAAAATATATTTTATTTCTGTGATCAAAGCTGAATTTTTTTCAGCATCATTACTCCAGTCTTCAGTATTTAAAATAAATGTAATTTTACTTTGTATTCATCAATGAATCCTGAAGAAAAAGAAAATGAAGCAGCCCAACTGTTTCTATTTCAAGTCTTTCCACTGGAGCTTGTAGGAATGCTGGAGATAAATAAAAAAGTAATATCTGCATAAATACATTCATATAAATCTATTTTTGTTTTAATGGAATGCCATAGATTTTTATAATTGATCTTTTTTAGTTAATGAGAAATGTTTCTTGGAAAATAAATTATATTTTAAAGTATTTCCCAATAGAAAACCATTATTTTAAGTTGTAATAATATTTCACAATACTACTGTTTTTCTGTATTTTTGATCAAATAAATGCATGCTTGATGAGCAGAAGAGACTTCTTTCAAAAAAATTAAAAATAGTAATATTTTCAAACTTTTGACCGGTACTGTATGTCATGACTTTATAGGATGACACAGAATTCGTACAGGTTTGGAGCAAGACTTCCAAGTCCCTCATCGCTTATGAAAGTGGACGGATATACTTTGATAATTACAGGTGTTGTTACAGCAGGTAAACTATCTGATTTTACTCAGGAAAAGTATGTTATCCTAAAATACGACATCTGTTAATATGGCTCAAATTTATTACAAATCACAGCCTTTTACCCGAGCCAGAACAGCTGTACGAGCTTCCCAAAACTCCCAAAACTGAGAAGATTGAAGACGCGTTGTTGTGCCAGTGTCCTCTAGTGAGTCTGATCATCTGCTGCACGTCATTTATTTGCATATAACTTTCTGTGTTATTAATTTTTTTGTTTTTTTTTCCAGGACAATGTTCTACCAAATGCTTCAGAGCAGAAATCCTGCCTGTTGGCTCTGACGGCTCATAACTGGTTGCATCGGCTCTCGGCTGACACTGGAGGAACGCTACAGCGGGTCTACCTCTCCTCGCATCTCAAATTCAGGTGATCGCTCATCTTCACCCTGAGGTGCTGAATTATAACTAGCTGCATGTTACAGTACATTTTATGGCAAAAGCGGCAATTTTGCTAATGTAACATCTGAAATGAAGTGTTTTTGTTGTACTAATATGAGTTTGTTAACAGATCTTTAGGTTGGGACTCCTCGCAGGAGACATTTTATGTCAAATCCATTCAGAGCAAACAGACGACTCTGCAACGACAGGTCAGACTCCACTGATGCTCATATCTGGGTTGCATGTATTTCATATGCAGTTGGGTCACTCTCTTAATTTAGTTGAATTTTTTATTTCAATTTAAAGGAGCTGTATGTAAGATTGTGGCCAAAACTAGTACTGCAATCACTGTCAAATTACTGTAGAGTGGTGTATCCCTTCCCCCTCCTCCCTGACTCGAGGTTGCCAGATCGGCAGCAGGATCCAGCAGGAACGTGACGAGCTGCAGCTGTGGTAACTAGAGCAGACCTGGCAACCCGGATGCTGCAACCCGGATGCCGCAACACTACTGACTTTGTGATTGGTAGATAGGTGGAGGGTGGAGCATCAGACCAAAACACAACATGACAACATCAACATCAGTTGAGGGCTGCAACTGCACTTTTTAAATGACAATATCCTGGCCAGACTACTGTTGTCAGTGATATAAGTATTTGAAATGTACATGATTTCTTAATGTCTAGTGACATTTCAGGGCCATTTTATGATTAATTGAAATACATTTCTTACATACAGCTCCTTTAAATGTGCTTTATTGGCATGACAATTGTTACAATGTATTGCCATAGCATTCCTATTGTTTACAGTGAAGTGTGTAGTAAGATACTATGGCTGTGTCTGAAATCACATACTTTCTTGAGTAGGTACTTATTTTTATTTTAAATTAATAATTACTTTGCAACCTCTAAAAAGTACTTTCTATATAGTAGACTATGAATGTGTGAATGAAACTACATTTGCCATGTTGTAATTATCATATGACCTACCAGTGCCAATTACGTCGCTTCACAGCCATTCATAAATCCTCTTTGTAGGTGTGGGTGATCGGGGGAATGTTTGTCTACTCTTTTATAGGGGACAAAATATCGATAGGGCAAAATATAATTGTCCTTCTCCATGCGATATGAGAATCCATACACTGGCGCCAAATATCGAATATTTGAATGAATAAAATAAGGCACTCTGAATAGCTTTCCCTCCTCCCAGCATCACTACTTAATGGCTCCTCGAGGTGGCGCTCAACACATGAATAAGGAAAATGTAAACACAAGTTAACTAGCCTAATAAAGAGAGGTTTTTAACGGGATGGCGGACAGCTATGTGAGTAAAATAATTAGGGATGCACCGATTTAACATTTTGGCCAATACCGATAATTCTTTAAATTTGAAAGCCAAGAACCGATATATTGTCCGATAAATCTAAATCCAAATCTTTATATCATTTTTTAAAGCCTGATTACAAAACCGATTTAAAAGCCATCATTCTCATTATAATTGTATGGAGCATATGACAGAATATTTTGCAATTTTCCTTTTTTGAAGGGATTCCAATCATATTTCAAGCAATTCTAAAATCATCGTGGCGAACAGTTCGCATCTGAAGTGTCTCAGCTGAAGGAAATAATCCATTATTTATCAGCTCAAATATATTGGCCAAATATTCTTAGCGGGCGGATAACGATAATGTTACTAACGAACATATATTGGCCGATACCGATATGGTGGCCGATATATCGTGCATCCTGAAAAATAATAGATGCCCAAGCCAAGTTTAAGTCCAAAGTCTGGAAAACCTGCACTTAACCTTTTCACTGGCATTTTGTTTTAATAGGTAGACAGATATCGTGATGTATCATTATAGGATTATCTAGCGATATATCGGTTATCGCTGAATTGCTGTATCGTGATGTTATCGGTATCGTGAGCCATGTATCGTGTATCGTATCGCGAGGTACCCTGTGTCTCGCACCCCTACTCTTTTATGAGTACAATGCAAGTAATAATGCAAATTATTTCAAATTTTGGATATTATTTCCTCCTAATTTTGCTCATAGATAGGGCAGCTAGTGAGAAAGTGTTGCTCTGTCTCAACATCTTCTTGGCTACAGTACGGGCAGATCCGGCGTTCTGACAATATATGCTTCCTGCTATATTTGCATGGCTCTAAGGATAGTATAAGGGCTTGGAGGCAAATAACTTTCAAGTTTACTTTGTTTTTCTGTTTTCTGTTGTTTGCGGCTTCAAAACCTTCTGAATGAGGGTACTTTTTTCAATGGTTATTTCATGTCTCTCTCTCTCTCTCTCTCTCTCTCTCTCTCTCTCTCTCTCTCAGGCTGGTGTTGATAATAACATCCTCATGCGTGTGGCCGTATTTCAAGTCTTTCCACTGGAGCTTGTAGGAATGCTGGAGATAAATAAAAAAGTAATATCTGCATAAATACATTCATATAAATCTATTTTTGTTTTAATGGAATGCCATACATTTTTATAATTGATCTTTTTTAATTAATTTATTTCAATTTAGCTCCACTTAAGCTACATATTTTAGTGAAACCTGTGTATTTCAGAACGAGATATTAGTTTCGATAAATAGTATTTTTTATTGTCTATTTTTATTATTTAAATATATTCAAATGAGCGTTGTCAAATGAATGAGTCAATATAAAATGTTACGTTACGTTACGTTATGTTATGTTATGTTACCTTACATTACGTTACGTTACGTTATGTTATGTTACGTTACGTTATGTTACGCTATGTTACGCTGTTACGTTATGTTACGCTATGTTACGCTGTTACGTTATGTTACGTTACGTTACGCTACGTTACGTTATGTTACGTTATGTTACGTTATGTTACGTTATGTTATGTTACGTTATGTTACGTTACGTTACGCTATGTTACGTTATGTTACATTATGTTACGTTATGTTATGTTATGTTACGTTATGTTACGTTACGTTACGCTATGTTACGTTATGTTACGTTATGTTACGTTACGTTATGTTACGTTATGTTACGTTATGTTACGTTATGTTACGTTATGTTACGTTATGTTACGTTACGCTATGTTACGCTATGTTACGTTATGTTACGTTATGTTACGTTGTGTTACGTTATGTTACGCTATGTTACGATATGTTACGTTATGTTATGTTATGTTATGTTACGTTACGTTACGTTACGTTACGTTACGTTATGTTATGTTATGTTATGTTATGTTACGTTACGCTATGTTACGTTATGTTACGTTATGTTACGTTACATTATGTTACGTTACGTTATGTTATGTTACGTTACGCTATGTTACGCTATGTTACGTTATGTTACGTTATGTTACGTTACGTTACGTTACGTTACGTTATGTTACGTTATGTTACGTTACGTTACGTTACGTTACGTTATGTTACGTTATGTTATGTTACGTTACGCTATGTTACGTTATGTTACGTTACGTTATGTTACGTTATGTTACGTTATGTTACGTTATGTTACGTTATGTTACGTTACGCTATGTTGCGCTATGTTACGCTATGTTACGCTATGTTACGTTATGTTATGTTATGTTATGTTATGTTATGTTACGTTATGTTATGTTATGTTACGTTACGCTACGCTATGTTATGTTACGTTATGTTATGTTCAGGTCTTTGGTAAGACGGCGGTGGATGTGCTGCTGTCACAGGGAGTCTTAGCTGTATCACACAGCTCAAAACATGTCAAACTTTACAGTTTTGAGTACATAGTTAATAAGGTAATTGAAACATAATTCCTTTTTGTGATTGTTTGGTTTATTGGCTCTGTTTGTTTTATCGTCATGCCATATGTGTTCTTTTCTCTTCAGTTTAGAATTGAGAAATTGGCTCTGGGACAGCAGTGTGAGATTAATGGTGGAAAAGGAATTGTGGGAGATGCTCCATATGGTATTCCCGTCAACATTCGTATTCATGGTGGGTGACTGATATTTTATTATATACAGTAAAAAAAAAAAAAAGTTAAACAACTGCCTTATTTCCCTCAATTTTTGCTCCAAAAAGTCTTAAAAATGTGTGGATAAAGTGTTGATTCAGTATTTATTTTTTAAACAAAATGTATCTAACCTTAAATGGGGGATTTTAAATTTGGTCAAATAAATGTGTCAATTAAAATGGCATAATCTATTTAGGTGAAACTGTCAAAGTTATGCAGTTATTTCCACCATTAGTTATTTTACATTCAGGACCTCGTGCCTGATGTGTGATGGAATATTTTGTTCCCGTTATGTTGAAAACACAGAGCAATCTCTCACTCTGACAGTCCAGGGTCATAACATGAGCCTACGAAACACCTTTTCTTCCCACTGAGCTTATTATTACATAGAACATATCTAATCTACAGTCATGTGAAAAAGATAGGACACCCTTTTAAATTCTATAGTTTTATGGATCAGGACATAATAAAAATCATCTGGTCTTTAGCAGGTTTTAAAATTAGGTAAATACAACCTCAGATGAACGACAACACAGGACATATTACACTGTGTCATTGTTTTTTAACAACAATAAAGACAAAATGTAAAAACCATGTGTGACAAACTAACGATTCAATTGTTTGTAGAACCACCTTTAGCAGCAATAACTTGAAGTAATCATTTTTCTGTATGACTTTATCAGTCTCTCAGATCATTCTGGAGGAATTTTTGCCCGCTCTTCTGGACAATGTTGCTTAATTTCTCTGAGGTTTGTGGGCATTCACTCTTAAAGGGTCAGTTCACCCAAAAATGAAAATTATGTCAGTAATTACTCGCCCTCATGTTGTTCCAAACCCGTAAGACTTTCGTTCATCTTCGGAACACAAATTAAGATATTTTTGATTAAATCTGAGATCTGTCTCACTCCTCCATAGGCTTCTATTGTAATTTCATTCTGCCGGCCCAGAAAAGTTAGACATCGTTAAAATAGTCCAAGTGACTACAGTGGCTCAACCTTAAGTTTATCAAGTGACGAGAATACTTTTTGTGCGCAAAAACCTCTCGTGAACTCACTCAGAGGCCCACACGGAAGAAAATTAATAGTTGAATAAAGTCGTTATTTTAGTTTTTGTTTTGCGCACAAAAAGTATTCTCGTCGCTTGATAAACGATTGAGCCAATGTAGTCACTTGGACTATTTTAACGATATTTTTACTAACTTTTCTGGGCCGGCAGAATGAAATTACAATAGACCTTTAAGGTCCCGCCGCAACTTTTAATTCAGGTTGAGGTCTGGATTTTGACTGGATTCTATTGTAGATTTGCTGGTGTGTCATTGTCCTGTTGCATGACCCAATATCGGCCTGATTCAGCCAAGCTTTAGCTGTCGGACAGATGGCCTCACATTTGTCTCTTGAATACTTCTATGCAGAGGAGTTGATGGCTCACTCAATGACTGCAAGATTCCCAGGTCAGGTGGCTGCAAAACAAGCCCAAATCATCAGCCCTCCACCACCATGATGACCCTTGGGGAAAAGGACATTGTTCCAGAAGTCTTGTTGTTTGTTCAGATGCACCTTTGCAAACCTAAGCCATTCTGCCATGTTCTTTTTAGAGGGAAGAAGCTTTCTCCTTGCAACCCTTCAAAACATGCCATACTTGCCCTGTCTTTTTCTAATTGTACTGTCGTTAACTTGAACATTTAACATGTTAACTGAGGCCTGTAGAGTTTGAGATGTAGTTTGTGGGTGTTTTTTGTGATTTTTCTGAGCAGTGCACGCTCTGACCTTGGGGTGAATTTGCTGGGACGGCCACTCCTGGGAAGATTGGCAACTGTCTTGAATGTTTTCCACTTATGAATAATCTCCCTCGCTGTAGAATGACGGACTTCAAATTGTTTGGAAATGGCCGTATGACCCTTGTCAGATTGATGGCAGCAACAATTGCTTCTCGAAGATCATTGCTGATGTCTTCCCTCTTTGGCATTGTGTTAACACACACCTGAATGCTCCAGACTAGCAAACTGCCAAAACTTCTAATTTTATAGAGGTGGTCATGCTTGCTGATGATCAATTAATGATCAACGATGTTTGATTAGCAGTGTCTGACTGCTACTTACCATCTTAATTCCTATGGAAGCAATATGGGGGTACTTAGTTTGTCACACATGGCTTTTCGATTTTGGCCTAGTTTTTGTTAAATAAATAATGACACAGTGTAATATGTCCTGTGTTGTTGTTCATCTGAGGTTGTATTCACCTAATTTTAAGACCAGATTAATTTTTTATTTTGTCCTGATATGTAAAACCATATAATTCATGTTTCAATTCATTCAATTTTGCAGTAAAATGATCCAGTTAGTTTCTTAGGCTTTTCGGTGACCAATCATGGCCATTCCAATAAGAATTCAGCTTGAAAAGGCTGCTCTTCTTTTTTTTTTAAATATCCAATGATTTTTCTACTTATTTTTCATTAGCCACCGCTGTAATAACTATGAAACATTACGGAAAAGTTGCAGACAGTTGAAGTGTGTAAGCGTTTCTGAGGGAATCAGTTGAATTACTGATGATTGACTCTCTTTAATTAAGTTGAGAAAAATTTCCAGATGCAATGTGACAGTTAAAGTTATTTTGTTAAAGTACAATTAAAGCACAATGTTATTATTTCTTATGAGTTGTCAATAGTGTTAATTTCGTTAACGAAAACCGTGATGAAAAATGTTCGACGACACCGACGTCATTAAACACCAACTGTGATATAAACGTAATTTATATTAGCGTCATTTAGAATGATTGGAATTACTGTGAGGAATTTCACAGTTTTAGCTTTTGAGAGAAGCTTTTGAGTTTTACCTGTTTTCATAGTGTAGAAAGTATATGATAATATTGTAAATCAGGAAACTTGGAAATGGAAAGAGCTACAAGATACACGCATGAGGAAAAATGTACTCTCACTCGGCGCCACCTATCGTACAGGTGTGAATTAGCCGAATGCTATCAATTGTTTCAAGTTAGATGTGAAAGCACCGTTTGTCTGTGATTCGCTTCACTTTATAGCGTCGCTCTAAGTGTGAAAGCGCCTTAAGACTAAATAAAGAATAGAATTGCTTACAAAATGAACACCAGTTGTCAATACTTCTCTCTACAGAGTGTCCTCCCGTATTGTTTGAGATGTCATACTTTGAGAACGGGGTTCAGATCGGAGGTCATCCCTGGCACTACATCTACACCCCCAACCACAAGAGACACCGAGGAACCCATCATATCTGCTCCATCACTGACGGAGAGCTGGTGATTACTCTGATTCACACACACATGTTCTTAGTCCTACGGAAAAAATCCTGTACATGTAGTGAGAGTGAATGTGTGTAAGCGTTGTTGCATTTAGGTTGAAATTATTATCTATTATGGTGGACATGGTAAACTTTTAGGGCAAGACAAATAATATTAGGTTTATCTGATAATTATATTACTTATAGAATTACACAGTAAATTAAGACTTTGGTTCTAGGAAAAAGAACACTTATGTTCAATAATTGACACAAGTGTCTTTTAATTTAAGCTGTATGTGTCTATATAATCCAATGATCTGTCATCAGGCTGAGAACGGGGTTCAGGACATGAAATGCGACTCTCTGGAAGCAGACTCCATCTTTTTTCACCCAGATGATTCGGGCCGAATTGTTCATGCAGGACCCAGCGCAATAAAGTGAGCATGATTATTATATATGGCAAAAGAGAGACAAAATTGCACATGAAATATGCGTATGTAACAGTAATCTTATTATAAACAGTGTCCTTGGACAGTGATAAACAAGTGAATGAGGATCCGTGACTTTGAACATTGTACCATAGGAACAATGTGGATGAACCACTTTTCTCTATAATTGCTGTTTTTAATTTTCTCTGTTACAGTGTTCTGAAGATCATGGCTGAAACTGGATGTGACTGGAAGTGTGAGATAGTCACGGACTTCTCCATCACCGCTGCTCGTGACAATAGTGTAATTGTTGTCTCTGGGTTCATTACCAGCTGTAGTAGCAACAGAATATTATTGACATTTTGATACTATAGTTTTTTTAACCGACAATCGCAGAAATACCAGCTGATATTTATTGTAAATAAGATCAATACTGCATAGAAGGCTCTTTTTTGAGATGGTCCTCACTGCAGAACATGAAATCCACGGGGAGGAGTCGGATCCAGATCCAACTCTTCCCACCTTACTTATACCTAAACCTACCCATCTCCGCCCCCTGATCCCTAAACCCACCCCTAATCCTACCCATCTCCGCCCCCTGATCCCTAAACCCACCCCTAATCCCTAAACCCAGCCCTAATCCTACCCATCTCCGCCCCCTGATCCCTAAACCCACCCCTAATCCTTAAACCCACCCCTAATCCTACCCATCTCCGCCCCCTGATCCCTAAACCCACCCCTAATCCCTATACCCAGCCCTAATCCTACCCATCTCCGCCCCCTGAGCCCTAAACCCAGCCCTAATCCCTAAACCCAGCCCTAATCCCTAAACCCACCCCTAATCCTACCCATCTCCGCCCCCTGATCCTTAAACCCACCCCTAATCCCTAAACCCAGCCCTAATCCTACCCATCTCCGCCCCCTGATCCCTAAACCCACCCCTAATCCCTAACCCTAACCTAATCCCTAAACCCAGCCCTAATCCTACCCATCTCCGCCCCCTGATCCCTAAACCCACCCCTAATCCTACCCATATCCGCCCCCTGATCCATAAACCCACCCCCTGATCCATAAACCCACCCCTAATCCCTAAACCCAGCCCTAATCCCTAAACCCAGCCCTAATCCTACCCATCTCCGCCCCTGATCCCTAAACCCACCCCTAATCCCTAAACCCAGCCCTAATCCTACCCATCTCCGCCCCCTGATCTCTAAACCCACCCCTAATCCCTAAACCCACCCCTAATCCTACCCATCTCCGCCCCCTGATCCCTAAACCCACCCCTAATCCCTATACCCAGCCCTAATCCTACCCATCTCCGCCCCCTGATCCCTAAACCCACCCCTAATCCCTAACCCTAACCTAATCCCTAAACCCAGCCCTAATCCTACCCATCTCCGCCCCCTGATCCCTAAACCCACCCCTAATCCTTAAACCCACCCCTAATCCTACCCATATCCGCCCCTGATCCCTAAACCCACCCCTAATCCCTAAACCCAGCCCTAATCCCTAAACCCAGCCCTAATCCTACCCATCTCCGCCCCCTGATCCCTAAACCCACCCCTAATCCCTATACCCAGCCCTAATCCTATCCATCTCCACCCCCTGATCCCTAAACCCACCCCTAATCCCTAAACCCACCCCTAATCCTACCCATCTCCGCCCCTTGGATCTTGATCCGACTCCTCCCGTGGATCTCATGTACTGCATTGAGGTGCTACTGTCTTTTTTGGATGGTTTGTAAACAAGGTTCTTCGTGCCCACAGGCACCTCAGGTGATTGTGACCTCTTCCGGTCGTACAGTGAAAAGGAGATTCCAGTTGTTAGATGATGACCCAGCACAAGAGGTACAGCCGAGCACCAGCCCACACACACTCTAAGTACACACTTACACCTGGTATGAAGATGCGTTTTGGTTGATCGGATCACAAGTGGACGATGCTAAATGCAGGTGTAAACGGGGTCTAAAACGTTTGAGCTTGTCCACTTGCGACCACTTTTGCGTTTTGGTCAATCGGATCACAAGTAGACGAGGGAGACGCATTCCCATTTACACCTGCTGTTTTAATCCATTTTTTTTTGTCCACTTTCAAGCACTTGTAGCGAATTACATTTACATTTACATTTAGTCATTTAGCAGACGCTTTTATCCAAAGCGACTTACAACTGAGGACTAAACCAAGCGAGTCATCGTGAAGAGGCAAAAGCAACGCAAGAAGTGCTCAAAATACAAAGTTCAGACATAGCTCGGAGTAGCATAAGCCAGGCAAGCGAGGATTTAGAGGAAAGGATTTTTTTGATTTTTTTTTATTATGTTAAGTGCTCCCGGAAGAGATGAGTTTTCAGTTGTCTTTTGAATGTTGTCAGGGATTCTGCATTCCGGATGAGGGTGGGGAGATCATTTCACCAGCATGGAACCGTGAATGAGAATGTTCTGGAGAGTGATTTTGTGCCCCGCTGTGATGGTACCACGAGCCGTCGCTCATTGACCGATCGTAGGCTTCTGGTAGGGATGTAGACTTGTAGTAGTGAGTGGAAGTAGGAGGGAGCTGAACCTGTGGTCAATCTGTAAGCAAGCGTCAAAGCCTTGAACTTGATGCGAGCAGCGAGTGGTAGCCAGTGCAGAGAGATGAGCAGAGGAGTGACATGGGCCCTTTTGGGCTCGTTGAAGACTAGACGAGCTGCAGCATTCTGGATCATTTGTAGAGGTTTAGTTGCACATGATGGAAGTCCAGCCAGAAGAGCATTGCAGAATTAGCTCAAATGAGCGGAATCTATTTAATAATTAATCATGGTTAAATGATCAAGTATTGCATACATATTTTAAATTGCCCAAAAAGGGAATACATAGCGAAATCTCCTCCCATCCGTTGTCTGATTGGCCTTTCACAAGGATTCCTGGGTAGTTAAAGTGCGTGGAGCCTGCATCTATGCGGGCTTCGCGCAAGACCGCTTCAAGGGTACAAAGGGGGCGCTGCTGAGCACACTTCAGAGTGTTAAAATGCTAAATGGGACAGCCTACGGACTCGTAGACTCGGCGAGCACGCGCAATTTAAGTCCACGAGACCGAAAGTCCGCATGAAGTGCGCCATTTGGGACAGGGCCATAAAGCTTGTAGCTTCAGATCGAACATTCAAGGGACTTTATTAGGTGAGCAGCAGACAGAGACAATCAAGCGTATAATGGGTTTTAATAAATGAAAATATAAAAACATACGACTACATTTAAACAAAGACGTATAACAGAATAACGACAGTAAATAGAGAGAGAGAGAGAGAGAGAGAGAGAGAGAGAGAGAGCGCAGATCTCAGGAAATGGCAAATATCACAAACAGTTAACCTTTGAGAGCCAGCAAAGAATCAAATCACCTTAAAGCAGGGGCAAACAATCTTGAATGCATTTAAGTCTCGATAGAAATAATACTTGCATGGTTCTTTGTAGCTGAGCAAGAATGCGTGTGTGTGTGTGTGTGATGACCCTCGCTGTGTCCGTGAGTTTGAAGCGTTCTTTCGGTTCTTCCGGAGCGCGTACATTCGCGGGAAATTCATAGTCTCAATGGAGGAATTCGATGCAGACTCTTTGGCGCTTGACCTGTGATTTACATAAATGAGTCCAATAGGTTAAAAGCTTTCTGAAGCTCAAAATGAGTAAGTCATTGTGATTTCGTCCAGACGCTACACACTTCTGTCCTGATTTCTTCGAGGGAAGGAATCTATGGTAGGTAAATGTATGTTTTTTGTTGTTGTTTTTTCAGATCTTTCGATTTAATGGGCAAAATAAGCTCATGTAATTTACATATGAATGCGTCCGGAGACGACAGAAAAACATACAGAGAGAACTAGCTTTCTGCTCTGAGCCGCAAGACCAGCCGAACGCTGTGAGTGTGTGTTAGAAATCAGCAATGGTGAGAGAACATTGTGCTTGGTACATTTTTCATCTTCAAACCAAATTTGGTTCTTCAGCAGACAAAGTTTAGCTAGCGCGCTTCTTATAATGTTCGCTCATTAGGTCAGTAGACGAAGAGTAGATGGTCTTTTGTGGCTGTTTGAACACAGTCGATCACATGAGTGTTTACACTACGAAAGCAATCCGGTCGAATGTGTTTTCAACTATCTCTGGAAGTGGTCGAAAGTGGACAAACTCAAACGTTTTAGACTCCGTTTACACCTTTATTAATTGTCATCCACTTGTGATCCGATCGACCAAAATACATCTTAATACCAGCTGTAAACAGGATCTTAGTAAAAAAAAAACGGTTATTTTAAGAACTGTTGATTGAAAGGTTCTTGGGGAACGCAACATTGTTCTTCTGTGGCATCACTGTGAAAATCCCCTTTATTTTTAAGAGTGTATAAGGGTTTGAAACATGATGGGGGAGTAAATGACAGATTTCTCAATCCAATCATCTGATTGGAGCCTTAATTGTTAAATAATATGACAGAAGAATGAATGCTGATATACGCAGAGATGTAAAGTCCACGGGTCAGAAAGTAAAAGTCCTGCCATATGTTTCTTCCACCCTTAAACTCCGCCATCTCCTGGCTGAAACACTGTGCTAATTAGCAAATACAGGTGATTGGAGCAAGATACTGAGGAGGACTTTCACTTTCTGAACCTGGACTTTACACCTCTTCAAACATAAGACTCTTTTCCACCATCGGGCCAAATCGTTCATTTTGCTTAAGCGTGTCAATCCGGCTCAGCCAGTACGGATATGGTTTCATTTTCCACTGTGGGGCTGATAGTGATAACAGAGCATGTAGAGACTTGCCTCGCGAGATGTAAATAGCGAACGCATTATGGAGGACGATCTTTTAATTTTATCAAAAAATCGTCCCGTGCTCTTGTGGAAATATAACTGGAACCGTTCCTTACCCTTCGCCTAGTCGGTGGAACAGAGTTCACTCACTCTAGTGTGTGATAAAGTCTCTGAGACGGTCTGTTATTGTCTGTGCTTTGACGTAACTTGGAGGTCTTATCTAGACTTTCAGGATGGTGAAGTACGAAGATGAACTTGATCTGTTGGCGGTGATAGACACCACTCACGCTGAAGATGAAGGACAAGCCCATCTTCGTCTGCATGACAATAAGACAGGGATTTTAATGAAGAAAGTTCCTCTAAAAGAGCCATGGGATGTGGTATGACATTTAAATGAATATTTTTTTTAGATATCATTCTCTCCATTTGTCATAACCTAACACCCTCTGTGTTTGTTTTTCAGACCTACAGTCATGAAGTGTACTTTGATAGAGACACGATTATTCATACTGTCCAGGAGAAAAATAACACCTTCTGCTGCCATGTTTATAAAATGAAGAGAAGACCTTCAGATGAACCATAAGCACATTTCATATTCCTGGATATGTTGATTACTAATGGACTGTAGTGCAACTATGTATTTGTATATCTGGTATTGTATTATAATTTGTTTATTTGTGCATTTTTTGACATCATATAAGCAGAAAACATTTGTTTTTAAATAGATGGATATTGCACTCTATCATTTGGAGTGAAAAAAGGAGACTTTTCTACACTTTTTCTATTCAGTTATTTTATTAAAACATTTACATATAACTTTATAATTAAAAACCAGTTTGTGACAGATATGCTCTTGTCATCATTGTGAAACTTGATGTTGCATAACTTTTTAATGTGGTGAGTTACAAAAGTGTGTTGTCAAAAAAAAAAGGGGCTGGGAAATAATCCTCTGTCTGTGTCCAAAAACCTAGTGAGCTGCCTATCTGGACAGCATCATAGTCATTTTGAGCATGGATCATACTTAAGGCTGAAGTCTTTTTTGGATGGCAGTGAGCTTCCTACCTAGACAGCATGTTTAGGCATATCAGACACAATCCAAAGCAGCATTTTGACTCCCGGCAATGTTGCCCAGATAGGCAGCTTTTTAGTATTTGAGACACAGCCTCTTGTTTGGGTGAGAAAGTCAAAAGTGACCCAGCCCCCCCGTCCGAAGTGCCTCGTGTCCTTGCTGTGCTGTTCTTCACACTGCGAGGAGGATGGAGAACTACAAGCAGTTTCTTATTTTATTCCTTCTGGTGTTGGCGGTCGGTTTTGGGTCGATTGCGTTCGTTTTAACATGGGTTTTGCACTACCGAGAGGGGCTGGGGTGGGACGGAGGAGCGGCTGAGTTTAACTGGCACCCGTTGTTAATGGTGATCGGGTTTATTTTTCTTCAGGGAATCGGTAAGGAGTTTCAATGTTTGCATTTCATTCAACAACCAGAGGTTCACATTCCTGAGTCTTAATCTCGATTTAAAGTAACAGTAGGCTAGCTACAGAAGTCAGTCCCGTACAGCGTTAATCCACACAAAAAAATAACCAAAGTAACAATTTTAGTTATCTTTCTTTTAGTGATGCTTTTTCTCAGAGGATTTAGTGAAACAGACGACTAGTTTCGACTAATAGAAATTGCGTTCGCTATGCGGTAAAAAGAAGAAGCGAAAATAATGCGACTTTTTGGACACAGTTTTGAGATAAAGATCGAGAGTCTCAAAACATACTGAACTTTTGTTTAAATTCTAGAAACGGATGCAATACAAACACCTTCAGGAGAGCATTAAAGTAAATAAAAAACATTGTATGTAAAGTCAGATATCTAAATGAAATTTGAGGACAAATAAAAGACACAAAAGAAGGGAAAAAGAGGAACATAAAGGGTTAAGTAGCCTACCATACATTTTTAAAGGGAAACGATACTAGAGGCAGATAATTAGAAAAACAATATCAATCAATATATGAGAGAAAGCTGGTTAAACCTTAACATTAGACTCAGCGCCGTTACAAAGGAATCGTCAGTATTTTTCAGGAATTTATCATATTTTGTATTGCAAGTGAAACAAAAAGATTTAAGCAGAATGTAAGAGAGTAGGAAGTGAGCCTATAAAGTTCTGTTTATGGATGAAAAATTTGCCAAACAAAATTAAAAAGTTAAAAATATATTCATTAGATTTGTTGGAGACTGGAGTCAGTGTAATAACAAATAATATATTTCAAATTAAAATTTGATGTAGGTTCCAGTGTAGGCATATACACTCACCGGCCACTTTATTAGGTACCCCATGCTAGTAACGGGTTGGACCCCCTTTTGCCTTCAGAACTGCCTCAATTCTTCGTGGCATAGATTCAACAAGGTGCTGGAAGCATTCCTCAGGGAGTTTGGTCCATATTGACATGATGGCATCACACAGTTGCCGCAGATTTGTCGGCTGCACATCCATGATGCGAATCTCCCGTTCCACCACATCCCAAAGATGCTCTATTGGGTTGAGATCTGGTGACTGTGGAGGCCATTTTAGTACAGTGAACTCATTGTCATGTTCAAGAAACCAATTTGAAATGATTAGAGCTTTGTGACATGGTGGAAGTAGCCATCAGAGGATGGGTACATGGTGGCCATAAAGGGATGGACATGGTCAGAAACAATGCTCAGGTAGGCCGTGGCATTTAAACGATGCCCAATTGGCACTAAGGGGCCTAAAGTGTGCCAGGAAAACATCCCCCACACCATTACACCACCACCACCAGCCTGCACAGTGGTAACAAGGCATGATGGTTCCATGTTCTCATTCTGTTTACGCCAAATTCTGACTCTAACATCTGAATGTCTCAACAGAAATCGAGACTCATCAGACCAGGCAACATTTTTCCAGTCTTCAACTGTTCAATTTTGGTGAGCTCTTGCAAATTGTAGCCTCTTTTTCCTATTTGTAGTGGAGATGAGTGGTACCCGGTGGAGTCTTCTGCTGTTGTAGCCCATCCGCCTCAAGGTTGTGCGTGTTGTGGCTTCACAAATGCTTTGCTGCATACCTCGGTTGTAACGAGTGGTTATTTCAGTCACTGTTGCCCTTCTATCAGCTCGAACCAGTCTGGCCATTCTCCTCTGACCTCTGGCATCAACAAGGCATTTCCGCCCACAGAACTGCCGCTCACTGGATGTTTTTTCTTTTTCGGACCATTCTCTGTAAACCCTAGAGATGGTTGTGCGTGAAAATCCCAGTAGATTAGCAGTTTCTGAAATACTCAGACCAGCCCTTCTGGCACCAACAATCATGCCACGTTCAAAGTCACTCAAATCACCTTTCTTCCCCATACTGATGCTCGGTTTGAACTGCAGGAGATTGTCTTGACCATGTCTACATGCCTAAATGCACTGAGTTGCCGCCATGTGATTGGCTGCTTAGAAATTAAGTGTTAACGAGCAGTTGGACAGGTGTACCTAATAAAGTGGCCGGTGAGTGTATGTAGGTTTAATTTAAATGGGAATATAAGCTAGACCAACTTCTGAACCAATTTACAAGAATATAATGTATTAATATCTTTGTGACCACAAAACGTACTGAACTGCCTACCTAGGGGATGTAATGTATCTCACTTGTTTCTTTTTCTTTCTTTCTTTCAGCAATTATTGTGTACCGACTGCCATGGACCTGGAGGTGCAGCAAGCAGATGATGAAGTTTATCCACGCAGGGCTGCATGTTCTCGCCTTCATCTTAGCTGTCATTTCTGTGGTGGCTGTGTTTGATTTCCACAATGCAAAGGATATTCCCAATATGTACAGCCTGCACAGCTGGGTCGGCCTGGCTGCTGTCATACTCTACCCAGCACAGGTATGGTTTCACACACACACTGGTACATCTTCCGTTTTGTTATCATACACATTTGCAGCATCCAGTCCACTAACATCGAAAACAGTCATAATTACGCAATTTAGTTTAATTTAGACCTTTTTCCACCCACTTTTTGACTAGTAAAATGAAATGATACAGGCTGTTTTTGCTACAGTGTCTTTGAGACTTTAATAATAGTATGTAAATTACATTTGTTATGATTGGCTGACCCCCGTATATCAGCATAGATCAGAGCCCCAAATGGCAGCTATATATTTTCATATATATAGTCCAAGTTTATACTGTGATGTATTATATAATAAAAATGTGTATTTTGCATTACATTATGATTAGATGTTAGATGCATTATGTTTGCATGTATGTATGTATGTATTTATTCAAATTTATATTATATCAATTCATTTATTTTATCTATCTGTTTTTTTTATTAATTTAATCTTGGTTTGTTTTATTTATTATTATTATTATTTATTATTTGGGTTCCCACGGGTCCTTGAAATCCTTGAAAGTGTGTGAATCTGCAAAAAAAAAAAAAAAAAAAAAATCAAGGCCCTGGAAAGTTTTTGAAAATAATCATACATAGATGTATCTTACAAGGTAACATGACGTAACCGTGCTCTCACTTGAAATGTGTCCCCACATTAAGTCCTTGAATTTGAGGGTATTGGACCTGGAAAGTCCTTGAAATGTCCTTTCAATTTGAAGTTAACCAAGGTGTGGGAACCCGATTTTTTTCTCTTTGCCATGGATTCCCTAGCACTCCCTTGTGGCCCACTTCGGATCCCCAATTTGAATGTTCATCAGGACAATTTTTTTTTTCTGTAAATGTTCTGGATGGCCTTGGGAGGGAGTTTTGTATTGTGAATCTTATGTCTACTTAACACAACAAACTCTTTTACTTCAAAAGGACAGAAGATCCTGTTCTTTATACAGCCCTTTAAGGGTTAAATAGAAACGTAATTGTTTGTTAATCACATAGCGATGCATCAATATTTTATATTTGAATAAAACTTTGTAATCTTTATGTTGTCAGAGCTCTCTGAGGTGTGATGTGTTCTTCTCTCTCATGAATTAGATAGTTATGGGCATCGCCGTCTATCTGATACCTGCAACACCAGTGTATGTGCGTGCAGCTCTCATGCCTGTGCACATCTACAGTGGCTTGTTCATCTTCACCAGTGTAATTGCCACAGCTCTCATGGGCTTCACTGAGAAACTCATCTTTGGCCTGTAAGTACAGCTTCACACACAACACAAACCATACAAATGCAAATGCACATTGTGTCATAGCAAATTTGCATTTAGCAGAGGTCTTTCTAAGTGTTGTTTGTAATGTCTTCCAGGAAAAGCCCAGCTTATAAAGACTCTCCACCAGAAGCCGTTTTAGTAAATGTTCTTGGGCTGCTTGTTATTGCATTTGGAGGTCTTGTTCTCTGGATTGCAACTCGCCCCTCTTGGAAGAGGCCAAGAGAACAAGTCACACAATCTGTGAGCAGTAGCGGCACAGACCAAGAGGACTTCAAAGCGGACACTGCCACGACCACAAGAACACACCTAGACATCGAGACACGCAGACGTAACGGAAAAGCAGAAGAGTCTGGATGAAACAGCTTTTCTAAAGGAAGAGTTTACTATCCCTTTAATATAATCTCAAAGCAAACAAAATGCTGAAATCTCTGCTGTTGTGGAAGTCTTTGAAGGGCATTTTAAACTGACAACTCTGTTTGTGCTTATCGCGTTTAATCGCATCCAAAATAAAAGTTTGTTTACACAATATATGTGTGTGTACTGTGTATAAATATGTTGTATATATAAATACACACACATGCATAATATATTTATATTTAATAAATATCTGCATGTGTGTATATATATATATATATAATTTATATTAAAAATAAATATTTTATATACACATTACCCAAGAAACACATTTTCCTTAAATATATATCTGTATATATACATATAAAGATGCATGTGCATGTATTTATACAAATTAGCCTAATTATTCAATACAAAATAATTATACAAAGTACACACACATTTATTATGTAAACACAAACTTTTATTTTGGATGCGATTAATCGTTTCACAGCCCTATTATGCTGTAATATCTCTTCTGTGTGTAAAAAGAGATGCATGTAGCCTGCCTGCTGCTTTAAAAAAAAATATTTTTTTCGATATTTTAAAGTATATATTAACATTCAACACACTGTATACAGTAGTTAAGTTCAATGACATTATACTGCATTATTACAGTCATAAGTGTTTACTCCTGATTGGCCCATTTGTATATTTGTAAAGATTGTGCTTGAAATGCTCTGTTTTAAGATAATATGCTGTTTTAATATGCTATTGGTATAGACATAAAAAACAAGTAAATCTTACAATAACATTTCTGTATAATTGTTGGGACATAACATAACCAAGATTTGTATTTTTTATTATCAAAAGTATCACTTGATGGATGTTTTGTGTATGAAACACTCAAAATCATTAAATATTGTAGCATATTAGAATTTTTTTTCCCTTCTGAAATGAAAGTATGAGAGAAACTTCATACAATAAAACATGCCTTATTTAGGAAGCCAAAAGCATGGTTGGATGAGCGACCGATTAATTATCTTCAAAACATGCCTATTGTATGAATAAACATATTGTCTTTACCTGCAGCAAAATCGTTGAGGTGCGAGAAACCACTACAAATAAGTCTAATTCAGTTTAGTCCTTACCCGTTCAATCGATTAGTTCAAAAGATAGATTTATTCGCGAATAATAAACAGCTGATATTATAAAAAAAAAAAAAAAAAAAAACTCAAGTCATGTCGATATGATCTCCACCGTCAGACAAGAATGTATTCGTCACTGAGGTGGGGACCCTTGGTCTGCATAAGCAACACAATTTCCTCTATAAGTGTTCTCTGCTCATGTGAAGTGTAAAACTAATTCAAATAAAAACATTCTGCTCGTCTTCAGCTGATGAGGGTGAGGGAGAACGTTGACAGTAGCTTTAATGGTGCGTCACACAGGCCAACAGCTGTAAAAGAGCCAGAGAAACTGCAGGTGTAGTTGTGTTGATGTTCAGAATGGAGTTAGGTAAGTCACATCAACTCGAATTATTAAAGTACTTTTGACTGTTGGAAAAACAGGTAGATAGATAAACTCATCTTCCAGGCATTTGATCGACCAGGGGTGCGTTTCCCAAAAGCCAACTATGGTCGCAAGTTCCGTCGTTACCAATAGAGTTCAATGGAAATTGCGATAGTTGGATAACGATGTTTTCGGGAAACGCACTCGCAGGGTTGCCAGAAGCCAGCAAGGTTTTCCAGCCAAAAACCGCGAGAATGCACAAAAAACCGCCCAATTTTTTTTTTTTGGTTTGTTTTCTCGTTTAAACACAATGAAGTCGTGAACAACTTTAAAATGTGTAGCTTTTGCGTCCATTCGTTTTTCCTTAACCCATAATTGAAAAATGAACGTTTGTTGTAGCAGCTAAGCCCTACCCCAAATGCTGCGCAAAAAATATATAGCCTATGGACTAGGCTATTTCAGTTTTCTTTTTACTTTTTGCCCCTTTATTAAACATTTAAAATATTCACAAATTTCCTTCCCAGTTTAAACACGACATACATACCAGTTATGTAATTTATGGTAATTTGGCTTTTTGGTAATTAAACTTACTAATTGACAACAGCTACGACTTTGCATGCTCGTAATTTCATTTGCGTGTGCAGGCTATGTTTGCTTTTCTGAGGCAAGGCTAATTTTAACAAGTTACGAAAATAACGTTAAAATAATGACAACACCTGATCGATGATGATACAAAAGACAAGGCATTTTTATTGCATCTACAGAAGTGTAAACAGCTTTCACGCACGTCTTTTTTTTTTTTTGACTGCACACTCCGCGACCCGCCAGTTCAGAAACACTGTTCAAGTGACGGAGAGTGGTACCATAGTGAATTCAGGTTGATAGGAACACTTTTCCCCAGTCCTACCCCAAACATAATAAATAGCATATAAACAAAAAGACCAGTTTGTAAATCAATAGAGGGGTTTCACTGCTTTTTTCCCACGCTCGTCTGCGCCCGGTTTCAGAAATAACACTTTTCTGCTCGTCCGGCACTTTGCAATAACACAGCATTGTTTCGGCAGTGACTTTCAGCATGTTTCCTATAAATGACGTTTGCATTTTAAGACATACCACGCGAAATCCGATCGTTCAGACTGAGGCTCCCGGGCGAAGACTGTATGCCGAAATGCGTCGGAGTGTTTATTATGACCAAGCCATAGAAATAAAGGCTTTTATTTCTGATGATTTCCACATATGTAACTTGAAACGGATTTCATGTGCTTTTTTGGACTGACAATCTACGTATCCTATGTCGGGATAACAAATAGATGGAAGAATTGCAGTAATGTTACGTGCTAAAGAAGCTAACTCGTTCGGATCTTTACCACATATTAACTTTAGTTTGTCAAAATGTTGCGCTCTCTCCTGCTTCTCTATATGAGTCCTTCTCATAGACTGTAAAAAATAGGTCCTTCTCTATATGATTTCGCACCTACCATGTGTTTTTTCCGTGGTTTATTAGTGTAACAATGTGTTCAGTTAGTACATAAACAGTGCAATCCATGCTGTTGTTTACATCCGAGTGCCTCCATAATGGCCGCGCATCCGGGTTACGTTGGTGAACCCCCTCTATATAATACTAATTCAATATAATATTTTAATTATTGCATATCAGCGATTTAAAGTAAACATATAGCGTATAATAAGGAGACAAGGAAGCAGCTTCACGCAATACAAAGTCAATGGAGACTTGCAGGGCCGGAGTTGGGCCACTTTTCAGCCCGGGAGTTTCAGGCCCAAGACCGGCCCACTTTTTCCATGGAGGAAATTGGATAAATGAAGCAACAGTTCAGCTCTTTACTATTGTGTAGTTTTTATTAATACCATGGTTCAACAATAATGTAAAGGTTTAATAATTCACTTAAGCTGAGAAGTTAACAAAAAATATCATGGTCATTATTATTTTTCTGCATGGGTATCAAATTGTGGTAATTTCCTTTACTACACCCACTTCTGAACAAACAATACATTTTGGTTTATCATACCGTCATATACTGCTCTTTCTTAAAATAACAGAGGGATTTATGGATATCTAGCCTACTTTTGTTATCCTGTAAATCAGAATATACTGTCAATAGTCTTTAAAAAATGATTTTCACCATGTTTTTTGGAATAAAATGTTATATAAATCAGGCTAGGAATAATATATTTACAAATCCCTCTGTAAATGTATTAATATTATAACTAAATACAAGACTGGAAAGTGTGGTGTAAATAGCTACTGAAGTGGAGATGTCCGACTTGGAGTATGAGAGAAAGGTCATTTTGAGAAAATGGGCTTTAAAGATTTAGCATCAGCCAATGAGATTGCGCATTCAGAGTTAAATTCCCCCTTTTACTTTCACGATTGGTTGCTGATAAAAAGGAAATGACCATATTTGGATTCGACAGCATTGTACAGGAGAGAGCGAGCTTTCTAATGGCGTGTGTGATGACAGGGTGCAGAGTGCAGACAGCGATCGCGGAGTAGCGGGATGATTTATATCGCCAACTTTTGATGAATTTATGAGAAATCTACAGACGCAAACAGACAAAATGTTGTAAGATAAAGACCTAAATGTGTATTTCGGACTTTTTTCCACCACAAGTCTGAAAAAAAGACAAATAGGCCTACCCCAAAATCTCAAAATTGACCAGTAAAAAAATGATGTTTTTGCCTGCCGTGTCTCGCCTTAATTATCGGCCGGCCCAAAAGTGATGCGGCCCACCGGGAATTCTCCCGATTACCCACTCCGGGCCTGGAGACTTGGATTGTGTCCTCCCCGACCGTGCAGGTTTGGTTTTCAGATTATGACGCGTGGCGCTCTGTCTCTATTTTTTACAGTCTACGGTCTCTGTCTCTATGGCAGCGGAGAATGCAAGTGACGTCACGTGCAGCAAGTGTGCAGCCACGCACTATTGGCTGATCTCAACAACCAATCACATCGCGAAGAAATCGTCTTTGCGTCACATAACATTCTAAATTCCTCGTCATGACGTCACAAGCAGAACTTCTGTATAAAAGCAGGTGAAACTAGCCCAGTTCACACTACAAGCGACAAAGCGACACGATACCATTCATTTCAATGGGGAGCTGGCGATTTCCGGCGACACGCGCGACAACAGCGTTGGTGACCGGTGGGCCGTGTCTGGCGACACGAAGAAGTTGAGATCTGTTTATGCAAATGCAGAGCGACAACTAATAGTGAAGTCAGTGGAGCGCGTCACTCTTCAGTGCTGAGTCTGACCGAAGTTGAACGAGAAGGTAACTTTAGCAGTCAGAAACTGTCCTATAATTTATTATATTTAACATTATGCATTTTATGTATTGATTTCATTTATATTTAGACTTTTCCTTCCAAAATATTTGTTGGTAGCGGCAAGAAAATGTATTTGTTGTCTAATTGTTGTCTAATGTATTTGTTGTCTATCTGCTGCGTTCCAGGCAGGTTTTTGAGCACGTAAATCACGACTTCCAACCACGACTCACGACTTTGTAGCGTACCTGAGCGCAAGGAATTGTGGTAGCTAGATGTAAACAAACCATTGTTGTTTTGTATGGTTTCGAGGGCTATGTGATGTCAGAGCTCGTAACTGGGAGTACATCGATCTAG